CTAAAAGGTTTATGCAGTTCAAAGGAGGTTCAACAGTGGCGCAACACTAATGGGATATAGGATCTAGTAGTTCTATATGGTACATGGAAATTAAGCTGACTCAACAAGTCAGCACTTTCCACATCACCATGTATAAGGTTAAAAATAAAGGTTATCCCTAGCATCGTTCTACGATTGGCTAAGGACGGCAAGTTTATTAATAGGAGTTTACTAGAGTAGGAAGGTAATCTTTGGTTTGCATCCCAATTTAAACCGCGTAGAGCGAAAAGTAAAAAGTTCTTATGAACCGACTCAATGCGTTTACTATGGACGCCGTACTGAAGCTCAATAAAGTCAAGTTTTGGGTCCAAGCGGACGCCCAAATAATCAACAAATTAATACTTTCCAAAGAACAGCAGTGTAAGTAGCAAGCTTAGGAACGACACGAGAGAATTTCATTAGCTTGCATTTCGAGCCATTTAAGTTTAATAAGTTTACACGGCACCAAGTTTGAAAATTATTAAGATCTGTTTGTAAATTCGACTGGCAGGCATCGTCATTGTATTGCACGCAAAGCTTGACGTCATCCGCGTACATAAGTACTCTGGAGTTAGTCAAGACTTTGGGCAGGTCATTTATGAAAGATGTAAACAATAAGGGTCCCAAATGGCTTCCTTGCGGGACACCAGATGTAACCCTTAGAATATTGGATAAATTATTCTTAAAGAGGACCTTTTGCGTCCTGCCATTCAAATAACTAGAGATCCAATTAAGAAGATCACTTGGAAAACCCATTGAATCGAGTTTTCTAACGAGGAGAGAATGATTAACAGAGTCAAATGCTTTACTGAAATCAGTATAGATTACATCTGTCTAACAATTATTATGGAAGCCCTTTATAATATAGGAAGAGAGCTCCAAAAGATTTGTTGTTGTTGATCTTCGCTTAATAAAACCATGTTGACATGGAGAAATAACCGATCTACAAAGGTGCTGTAAATGAGGGGTGATAATATTTTCAAATAATTTTGGGATGGCCGACAACTTAGAGATTCCTCTATAATTGCTGGCATCCAATTTGCTACCTTTTTTGTGGAGAGGAATAATAAACGATTCCTTCCAAATAATGGGAAAGTGGGAGGTTGCTAAGGACAAGGTAAACAATTTCAGAAGGGGATAGCACAGGGCGTCGGCACAATACCTGAGCACACAGCCAGGAATTCCGTCGGGACCTGGCGAATAAACTGGCTTGACACGATGAAGATCTAAAAGGAGAGAGCTTTCGTTTAGGCTAGGACAGAAAATTAAGTTCGATTTGGGTATGTCGTAGGAATAAGTCTGGTATATATACGAAGAGCTAGAATAGGTTGTTTGAAAAAACTGCGAAAATAGATCGGCTATTGCCTGATCATTATTTGCGGTAGTATTTTCAAATGAAAGCGAGGAAGGATTTGTTTTAGGTTTACGTTTAGTGTTAACGAAATTATAAAACTGTTTTGGGTCCTGTGAGAACTGGGCCCCACAACGAGTTAAATAGTTTTTGTAACACTGCGCGTTCAGCACGGAAAAGTTTGACCGAGCTGATAAATAAAATGAAAGGGCAGATTGAGAACCGTTGATTTTAAATTTAGCATACAGTCTAGATTTTTTATTTTTAAGTCGGCTCAACTCTTTAGTAAACCACGGCGGTTTATTCGAGCTTGGCGGATAATATAACGGAACACATTCAGTAAAAAATGAATTCATGGCACTGTAAAAAATATCAACGGCAACTGCCATGTCAGTGCACATGTATAGATCGGACCAATTGAACTCGTTTATAAAATTATTCAGCCGTTCAAAGTCCGTTTTGCGAAAACATAGGACTTTATTGGCTGGACGGTCAGAAATATGCTGTACGTCACACCCAATATCAATATATGCGAGGGTATTTTAAAAGAGGATTCCAATTTAGAAAAACTTTCTGTAGTTGATTTTTGTAGAAAAACTATTGGAATTCCTCATATAATCAGATAGTTTTTATACCCTTGCTTCATTATTATAAGGCTTTTATTTTATTTTAACGGGATGTGTTCAGTCCTCAGGCGTCTTATAGGAGGAATCGAGCATATGTACAGAAAATACACCGACCGGGTTAACAATAATAAAATAAATAAATAAATACAGGTTTCTTTTTTATCATTTTCAACATTTTTTATTATTAATGCTTTATCTTTTGAGTTTGAATTTCTATAATTTTATATATTTATATTTTTTTATTTTATTTATTCCCATTATTTTTCAGTTCTTTCATTTATTATTTTTTTTCTTAATTTTCATTTAGCTTTTAATGTATGAGTTGTCCAGCCCCTAAAATGAGCCGTAAGTATTCACAGGTCGATAAATTGCTTCTACTTACTTACTACTATCTTATGTTGCTCTCCGACCAAGTGTGTGCTATCCGCACTATATTGCACCATCGCCTCGTCGGAGCTCGCGCACTTCAAGCACCCTGACTCCGAGGGAGGTTGCCACCATGGTCCTATCGCGGCTATCGTCTTCCCCGATAGCTCTGAGTCGTCGCACTTGCGATGCAATGTGCGGTGGCTAGGGAAAACTGACCGAAACTGGCAGTGACGGTAGGGGCGGTGGCGGTATGACCAGCCGCGTCTCGAACTCTCCGCACCTCAGTATCAGGGCCATCACGAGCTCGTCATAGGTGCTGATGGCTAACGAGAGTTCATCCGTATTGACGCCTTCCAAGCTGCGGCAACTCCTCCTAACCATGCGCTGCGTGGCCGACAGTTCGGCCATCATGGCAGCTTGCTCTGCACGGGCGGCAGCGGTGGCGGCAGGGGCAGCAGCATAGGACGTTAACGCCCGAGGCTCTGCCAATGAGGACAACGGCTCCTCTAGAGTGCCGGCGGGCTTAGGCACTCATTTCGCAGCCAACGCCAGCAAATTGTCTTGCGTTGGAGCCGAACTCTTTAAGTCAAGCCAGCTTCTACGCCTTCCTCTAGCATACTTGCCAGGGGCTCTCTGCACTATATCCGCGCATCACTAAACCACCGACTTGTCCACTTTTCACTCCTTATTTCGCACGGAAACACAGATTTCCACAGATAGACTGCGAACGCACTAAAAACACGTTCGTCTGTAGTCCGCTTTAGAAGCTATAGCAACTACCCCGGTACAAATAAGAGCGCACATAAGCCGGACGTGCACTGGTCCTTTGTGGGGAGTCGAGACCTATCTTAAATCTCTACTGCTCTAATGGTTACAGCGCCAGTTTGAGAACGCAACTCTACATTGATTCTAGCGGATCTCCCGCAAATTTTGGGATATATATAGGAACGCCGATCCTTATGAGCAGCCTTGGAGAACGGCTCAACCCTCTTCATTTTGGTCATCCCATCTGTTCTGCCAACTCAGCAGCATTTCCTCCTCAATTCGCGTTTTCTCTAGAGCCAGTCGTTCTCCTCCAGCGGGTATCCACGCTGCAGTTTTTCAAGCGAGGGAGCTCCATCAAGAAACTGTATGTAGTATAGTTTTATTTTTAACGTATCCAGTTCTAATGATTTCCGTGCTTTAATTGGAAGTAACCGACTTTGAAAATAGTCTATTATATTTTATAATTTGTAAATTTTCAAGCATTTTTAATTTGCTACTTGGAAATATTGACGAGGTATAACTAAATAAGAACCATATTGCAAAATAATGACTTCCCGGTTAAAATTATTAATACACTTACATAAAATAATAATAATAAATGTTCTGAGCATTGCGTGACTTATACACTAATAATGATAGTAAGAATAGAAACAAAGTTTGATTCTGCTGACGATGCTTGTCAAAAATATATATATGCTTTATGGGGGCGGAAACTACTCCTCCTATTCTAACTGAAATTATAATAACCTGCAGTGGTAAAATAAAGATTCTTTTCTGAAACGCAACCATGCAGCCTAGTTTAAAAGTGCTGCAAAATAAGAAATGGCCGACATAGTTAAAATGGCGTTAGCAGTCCGCCATCTAGGTAAATCTTTAGCCAATAAAAACTCATATTCGCTCAAATTAAGAATATAGCATTAAATTGGTGGGGATATTTCATTTTTCGCATTTTCCGAATCCACCAAATTCATCATACATTTTAAATTTCCTCTTAATAGATCTGCGTGGCGACTGGGCTTCAGCTAGCTCCGTCATCGGGAAGTGGATTCCCCAACACTTGCTTGGCATACATACATCACTAAATAAAGCGGTTTAGATTTAACTCGAAAAATGCATTCCTATTCGCCTCATGTAGTGGAGACCACATGTAGTAAGACTATTTTCATAAAATTTAACAAAAAATTCTAGATTAGTATATAATGGCTGTATATTAAATTTGTTACAAATCTGTTGAAAACTGAAAAAGTTAAAATTTTTTTCCTAAAAATTTTGCGTTTGTTCCTATATCAGCTATATATAAGAGTGAGAGTATATAAAAGACTAACTCTAACTAACTAAGACAAAGTTTCATTCCGATAGCTTTAAAACTGAGGGACTTGTTTGCATAAAAACGGACAGACGGTCAGATGGACAAATGGACAGACCCACATGGCTAGATCGACACGGCTGTTGATGCTGATCAAGAATATATATACTGTCGGTCGGAGATGACTCCTTCCTCGCGTTGCAAACTATTGACTTAAATTATAACACCCTGCAAGGGTATAAAAATTATGACAATAAGAAACAAAACAGTATGGAAATCTTAGGTACAAACCCAGTAGTATGTAAAGCCAATTTTCGGGACCTTTGATGTCGCCAAAAAGAGTAATAAAAATATGTTTAATGGTTTAGCTATCAAATTTTAAGACGTTTTAACCAAGCATAACTAAACGGGGTTACTTATCAAACTGTCTGTTCAGGTCAGGAGCCATTGTACGGCCGCCGGGCAGAGCGGGTCGAAGAGCACCGCTCTTAGCAATCCGATCTCTGCTCTGTTAAGCTAGGTTCGGGACCGCGATATGCCGATCGCCGTTGCACTCCCGCTCTCGTTTTTTCCTAAAGCTCTGTAAGCATGAGCGCGGAGTTATTTCTGTAAGCTAGGTTTAAGAGTTACTTATATGAAGTCGAATAAAACAGACGTGCGTCTCACCACCACCTCCAACGAAATTCAATTCCTTTCAAGGGCCTGTTGTGCAAGCAATTTACTTCAATTTTCTACTCCGGATCTTGAGCAGCCGGCCCCAGCTACACAAACACTGTCAAAAGAGGATGGGTAATTAATAAGGGTCATTACCAGAGAACTGCAGCAAGCCACCTCAAAAATAAGTCCACCGAACAAACACTGGGTGTCTCATACATCCGGGTGTTTTCGAAGAAAATAAAGAATGTAGTTTTAGGCACTGTTGTTTGTAAATTTATTGATAGACTTAGATTTGGTCTTTCTGGATTAGATAGATTGATTTGAAAAACTTGAGCTCCTAACTGAACTAGTATCTAAATAAACAACAAGGTACGTGAGGCTAATTCATACTTCTTAGGTAGTACCTCGATGGCTTTTGATTTGAGAGAGCATGTGACAAATGCCAAGCCAATTCAAAAGAATATTGACTACACACTTAAAACCATTGCTGGTAAAAGTGAATTTTATAAACGATTCGAAATAATGAAATCTCAAGTATTAGAGATAAGTTTAGAGGAATCCAAAATGGACGAAGAAAACCCATTCTATCATCCTAAAATGTCAGAAATTATTTTAGGAAAATATATTGTTCATGCACCATTTTGGACCAATGTAATGGGAATTTTTATTGATTATAGCAATAAAAGACCCAGTAATGGTCCTGTAGAGTTTCTATTTAATAAATAATGAAAATGAATGTTCCTTTGTTTACAAAAATATATATCAAATGAAAAGGAGTGTTCCTTTGTATACAAAATATATATAAAATAAAAAGGAGTATTCCTTTATATACAAAAATATATATAAAATAAAAAGGAGTGTTCCTTTATATACAAAAATATATATAAAATAAAAAGGAGTGTTCCTTTTGTTGGAATATGTTATCAAAACCAACATTACAAATGCGGTCACACTGCCTGATCTCTACTTTATAAATTGTTATCGATATTAAGTTCTATCCTCACTGTTTCCTTTCTACTGACAAGGCTGGTTGTGCGCGCATATAAATAAAATAATAAAAATCAAAGTGAATCGACTTACACCGATTTTTATTTAGGAACTAAATACTAAATTACAATAGGTTATGGGCCCAGCCCTCACTAAAACATATTATTGAAGAGAAAGTGAAGAAAACTTAATATATTAATTTGATTCTTGTGAAACTCACACATACACAGAGACGGTTCTATAGGTCTTGTGAAATATAGTATTCTTGGTGAAATATAAAAGTTTTGTGAAATAAAATAATATTATTAGATATAAATAATCTGAAGAATATAATAGTTCTTGTGAAATTCACACATACACATACATATACATACTTAATTTTTTTTCAGTTCTTCTAAATCGGATGCAATAGAATTGGTCTTGTGAAATTCACACATACACATACATACATATACATACTTCATTTTAAAGTTCTTTGAAATCTGATGAAATAGAGTGGTTCTTATGAAATTCACAAATACACAAATACATACTTCATTTTCGTAGTTCACATTTACAAGTCATACATACAAATTTAAAAAGAAAATATGGATAAGACAAAGAATAATATAAAACCGTTTGATGGGCAAAAGTATGGGATATGGAAATTTCGAGTAAGAGCACTCCTGGAAGAGCTAGAGGTCTTAAAAGTTATAGATGGGGAATTACCGCATGAAATTGATGATGATTGGTTAAAGGCAGAAAGACGTGCAAAAAGCACAATAATTCAACATTTAAGTGACTCTTTTTTGAATTTTGCGACATGCGACAAAACTGCGCGAGAAATTTTTAAGAATTTGGATGATACTTATGAGAGAAAAAGTCTTGCATCGCAATTGTCGCTTCAAAAAAAATTATTATCTCTTAAACTTAAAAGTGAGATGACACTTTCAAATCACTTTATAATATTCGATGAAATTGTCAATGAATTAATGGCCGCAGGATCTCGAATTGATGAAATGGGTAAAGTATCGCATTTATTGCTGACTTTGCCATCATCATATAACGGAGTAATCACTGCCATTGAAACATTGGCTGTAGAAAATTTGACATTAGCATTTGTGAAACACAGATTGTTAGATCATGAAATTAAAATTAAGAATGATTCTAATGATACTAGTAGAAAGATAATGAATACAGTTAGTTCCTTTAACGGAAAGAATGTTAGAAGTGGACCGTTTAAAAATAATTACAAGAAAGGGATAAATAATACTGGACGTAAACAATTTAAGAAAACAAATATTAAGTGCCACTACTGTGGAAAAGAGGGACACGTTAAGAAGGACTGCTACAGTTATAAACGAATAAATTCAAATAAAAATAAAGAAAATGAAAAACAAGCAAAAGTCGCGACAACTCAGCCTGATTTTGCATTTATGCTTAAACGTGCAAATCAGAATCTGACAAATTCCGATAAGAATGTCAGCTTCATATTGGATTCTGCTGCCAGTGATCATATTGTAAATGACAAAAACCTTTTCATGGATTCAATCCAATTGGAGCCTCCCATTAAGATTGCGGTGGCAAAGCAAGGAGAATTTGTTTATGCAACAAGGCGTGGAATAGTGCGTCTGTATAATGGACGACAAATAACACTGGAAGATGTCCTCTATTGCCCAGAAGTTCCTGACAACTTAATTTCGGTGAAGCGCCTCCAAGAGGCTGGGATGACAGTGGAATTTAACAAAAACGGAATGAAAATATCCAAAAATGGGTTGTTAGTTGCTGAGAATACCGGTATGTACAATATACCTATTATTAAGTTTGCAGCATTTACATTAAATATGGAAAACAAAAATACAGATCAATTATGGCATGAAAGGCTAGGTCATATAAGTGAAGGGAAATTGTTAGATATAAAAAGAAAGAATTTCTTTAATGATAATAAACTTTTAGACAAGGTTCTACCTATTACAGAGATATGCGAAGCTTGTCTTAATGGAAAGCAAGCTAGATTACCTTTTGCAAAACAAAAAAATAAAATTATATTAAAAGAGCACTTTTCGTAATACATTCAGATGTGTGTGGCCCCATCACACCTACTTCAATTGATGACAAGAATTATTTTGTAATTTTTGTAGATCAATTTACACATTATTGTGTAACTTATTTAATTAAGCATAAATATGATGTATTTAACATGTTTAAAGATTTCGTTGCAAAAAGTGAGGCGCATTTTAATCTAAAGGTTGTAAATTTATACATAGACAATGGAAGGGAATATTTGTCAACAGATATGCGGGAATTTTGTGTCCAGAGAGGGATTAGTTACCATCTAACTGTACCATATACACCGCAGTTAAATGGAGTTTCGGAGAGGATGATAAGGACTCTCACAGAAAAAGCGCGTGCTATGGTAAATGGTGCAAAATTAGATAAAACCTTCTGGGGTAAAGCTGTGCTAACAGCCACATATCTAACGAACAGAATTCCAATTAGAGCACTTGGTAATTTTGAAAAAACTCCATATGAGATGTGGCATGATAGAAAGCCAAGTTTAAAAAATCTTAGGATTTTTGGGTCAACAGTTTATGTTCATAATAAAAACAGAAAGAGAAAATTTGATGAAAAATCATTTAAAGCAATACTAGTTGGTTATGAACCAAATGGTTTTAAATTATGGGATTTAAATAATGAAAAGTTTATTATTGCAAGAGATGTAATAATTGACGAAACAAACATGATAAATTCTAGAGCTGTTCTGAACGATATTGAATTGCTGAATGAGAGTAAGCAATATGGTCAATTTAACTGCCCGAATGATAGTAAGGAAGATGATGATACAGATGTCCTGAATGAGAGTAAGGATAAATCAAGTCAATCAAACTTCCCGAATGATAGTAAGGAAGATAACCATACAGATGTCCTGAATGAGAGTAAGGATAAATCAAGTCAATCAAACTTCCCGAATGATAGTAAGGAAGACGACTATACGGAGGTCCTGAATGAGAGTAAGGAAAACTCAAATAAATTGAAATTCCTGAATGATAGTAAGGAAAATGACCAATCAAATGTCCTGAATGAGAGTAAGGAGAAATACAGCGATTTTATCCGGAATGAAAGTACGGAATCAAAATCAAAACAAGAAAATCATATTGATACTGATGTCGTAGAACAACTTGTTGAAGTTTCCACTAGACGAAGTAATAGATTAAAGAACTTGCCAAAAATATCCTATAATGAAGATGAAACAGATCTTAATAAATGTATATTAAATGCTCACAGCATTTTTAGTGATATTCCAAGCACATTCGATGAAATTCGAAGTAGAAGTGATAAGCGTGCCTGGGAAGAAGCTATTAATGTAGAACTAAATGCCCATGAATTGAATAATACATGGTGCATTGTTAAAAGACCTGAAAACAAAAATATTGTTGACAGTAAATGGGTATTTACTTTAAAATGCGATGAATTTGGAAACCCTGTAAAGTATAAGGCAAGATTAGTTGCACGTGGGTTTATGCAAAAATATCAAATAGATTATGAAGAAACATTTGCACCAGTTGCCCGAATTTCAAGTTTTCGTTTCATAATGTCAATATCAACTCAACATGGCTTGAACGTACATCACATGGATGTAAAAACTGCTTTCTTAAATGGAACACTGAAAGAAGAAATTTACATGAAAATTCCTGAAGGAGTAGCATGTGGCATAGATAAAGTATGTAAATTAAATAAAGCAATATATGGACTTAAGCAAGCAGCGAGATGCTGGTTTGAAGTATTTGAGAAATCTCTAAAAGAATGTGGATTTGTAAATTCACCTGTTGAGCGCTGTATATATATTTTAGATAAGAAAGATATCAATAATAACATCTATGTACTACTATATGTAGATGACTTGGTGATAGCCACATTAGATATAGAGAGGATGAATAGTTTTAAAGCATATTTAATGAACAAATTCCGAATGACTGATATGGGACAAATAAAGTATTTTATTGGAATGAGGATAGAATTCTGTGAAAAAGAAATATATTTCAGTCAATCAGCATATATTAAAAAGATTTTAAATAAATTTAAAATGGAAGATTGTAAAGCAGTCAGTACACCGCTCCCAATTAAACTTAATTATGACTTATCGAATTCTGAGGAGAATTATGATGCACCTTGTCGCAATTTAATTGGTTGCCTAATGTATGTTATGTTATGTACACGACCAGACATTGCTACTGCAGTAAATATTTTAAGTGGTTACACAAATAAAAATAATTCTGAGTTATGGCAATCCCTAAAGAGAATTTTAAGATATCTTAAAGGTAGCATTGATATGAAATTAGTATTCAAGAAAAATATA